GGGCCCCCGTGAGGACCGGCAGCCAAGAGCTCGGCTTCTCATAAAGAAACTACTTTTAAACTTTTCCTGTTCCCTGGGAGGGCCTGGGGCAGCCGGGCGGTGCAAAGGGATGGGGGAGGCTGAGGCCGGGGATGGCCACAGCATCCCTGGCGATGGGGCGGGATGGTACTCAGCGGTCCCCCAGTAGGAGGATGGTGCTGAGCCCTTTCGCTGTCACTGCAGGCTGAGTGGAGGACCGCCAGCATCAACGTCTCCTTCTTTGAGAGCTTCTGCTCGACGGCCCAGCACGCTTTCAACGCCAGCAGGGAGACGTGCACGGTGATGCTGACCTCCCGTGAGCCCCACTCCCAGCACTGGGCCGTGCGGGCGGTGGTGCACCGTGAGTATGATCCCACCATCCTGCCCCGGGAAGGATGGGATGGGATTGGCATCGGGGACACAGCCTGAGGCTCAGCAGAGCCTTTGGGGTCTGCTCGAGCTTGGCCAAGGTGCTCCTTTCCTTGGGTTGCCCCATCTCAAGAGGCTTGGGAGAGGCAAAACAACCCCAGAAATGAGCTTTGCCCCCCAAAACAAATGCACCAGATCCCTCTCCCGTCCATGATAAGGCAAGGCAGGGAGCAGTCTCTAGGTGGAAAAATTCCACCCGAGTGGTTAAAAAACAGTGCCCAGTTCAAATCCTTCCCCGAGGGGCCACAGAGGGGGGGTTCTTGCCCATGTCAGAGCCCTTTGGGCAAATCCAGCGTGCCCAAACGTTGCTTTAGCACCATGGTGCTGGGAGGATGGCGGCATCATGCTGCCCTAGCATGAGGGGAGGAAGGACCGAGCCCCATCCTCCTCTTCTTTGTCACCAGGGCTCGGTGGGGGGTCCAGCCTCCAGCACCCGACCATGGGCATGGCAACCCAGCCCTGGGGACTGATCCTGCCCTGCTCCAGCATGGCCTGGAGGAACCGGTTACAGCCCCTTGCTGGTCCCATTTGCAAATCGCCTACCAAAGCAGAGACCCCCACCAGGGTGTGCACAGCCCAGGGCTGGGGTATACTGGGGACTGGGGTCTCCAGGGCTGTCCCTCTGCCAGGAGAAGAGGTCCTGGCTCATTGCCTGGCTGTGGAGGTACCTGCAAGGGTTGGTTCCATCCTGCAAGGGTTGGTTCCATGCCTGCACATCTCCATCCACCTCCTCCAGAAAGGGGGTCACTCCATGGACTGGGAGGTAGTGGCACAACATGCCCACCCCATGCCCCATGTTCATTGCAGCCTCTTTCTTCCCCCAGTCCCTTTGGACCCTGAAAAAGTCCTTGAGGAGCTGAAGGAGAAGAAGGACAAGTTAGAGGAGGTAAGCAGGACCCTGGGGACAGCACAGCTTCCCCACAGACATCCCCTGAGGTGGGTGGCACTGGAAGCCCTCCTTGGGGCCTGACCCATCCCTTCCATGGCAGCTCGGCATCGCCAACATCACTTACGACAAAATGGAGAGGGAGATGATAATCAACGATGAGTTCAGCACGCCCCTGATCATCACCATCGTCACCCTGGCCGGCTCCCTGCTGCTGATTGCGGCCATCTACGGCTGCTGCCACCAGCGCTTCTCCCAAAAGAAGGACCAGGTAAGGTGGGAGGGGGGTGGGACAGGTTCTCTGAGATGTTTTTGTCCCAGAGGCGTCTTCAGGAGATGAAGAGCATCAACATTGCCATCTCTGTCGGTGGAGACATCCAGGCTTGCCCAGCAGGCACCACCCTTGTGTTGTTCAAGGAGTGCCCAAACACTGCGGATGCTCTGGGGGGGCAGAAGCTGCCCTTTGGGGGTGTCGGGGTGGGGAGCAGCCAAGATGAAATCCAGTGAAACGAGGGGCTGGTAGTGGTGGGGTACGGCAACGAGCAGCACCCATCCCCACTGCCACCCAGGACACAGAGCAGCATCCTTGGGTCATAATTGTGACAAGAAAAACTTTCTCAACACAAAACCCCTCTCCAAACCCATCTATCCCCCACCCCCACCCCAGGAGGAGGAAAAAAAAAAAGAGAAAAAAAAAAGAATTCTTAAAATACCTTTATAAGTAGGGGAGCAGGACTGGGTGCCCAGCACCACCACCCCAACGCCTTCCCAGGGGTGCCCACGGCTGTTTGCAGGGTGGGAGGAGGGCAGGAGAATGGCCGCAGGAGGGCATCAATGCTCAGCCTTTAGGAGAGCTGGGCCGGGGCCAAATTTCAGAGCAGCAGCAGCAGGATTTAAGGAAGAACAGGCACGGGGGGAAGAAAAAAAAAAAAAGATAAAAGTTATATTTTTTTCTCCGGAAGCAATTCTGGGTAATTTTTAGTGTAGCATCCACCTGCAAGGACTTGGCCGCTCTCAGTCCCTGCAGCACCAGTGGGGAGAGCTCTGCCACGTCCCCGAGGTTTGTACCGGTCCCCGCTGCTCTCGCTGAGGATTCAGCTCAGGAGGAGAGACAGCAACAGAAAGGGGGGGGAAAAAATGAGGCCAAATGACGCAATAAGGGTAAACCACCCTCCTGATGGAGAAGCAAACCCCTGGGTCCCACTTCGAGTTGTTTTCCCCCCAAAACCAGCTCATCCTTCCCAGGGGATTCTCAACCCAATGCCCCTCCGTGCCCAGAGCCACGTGAAGGTGAGGGATAAGGCGGCCTTTGCGTAAATGTTTGCGATGTAACAGAGATGAACACGGGAGGCAGGGAAGAGCAAACCAGCTCCGGCATCAGGCTTATTTTTACAAGGCTGGATTTTTTCGAGACGGAACGGGGGAGGGTGCAAGCCCTCAATAGATGTTTGACCTCCTCTGTGGTCCCCTTGGAGCTTACAGGGTTTCACAGCCAGGCTGAAATCTCCCCGGTCAGGCTGAAAAATATCCCAGCGAGGACAGGGAGCAGCATAAAGCTCTTGCTCCGTATTGTTAGAAAACAGACAGGAATAAGGTATTTTTAGCGATGGGAACATGTGTCCCTCCAGTAATGTGGTGCAGCAGAACAGGTACCAGCCCTGGCCGGATGCTCTGGAGGTAAATACCCACCAGCCACAGGGTAAGGTAGCAAAACCAAAGCAAGGGATGCCGTTCTTCCATAGGGTTCCTGCTCAGCGCACAGGAAAAGATCTTTTTCCAAGCAGTTGCAATAGGTTTTGAGAAAAATCAAACACATTTCTCCTTTATGGATTTGGTTTGGGGTGGTTTCTTTTGTTTTCTTCCTGTTTCTTTTCCAAAAATGACTTGAAAGTTGTTTTGTTTTTTTTTTTATTATTTTTACTTTTCTCCAACCCTCCTCTCCACCCACCCTCATTTTAAACCCTGCCGTTGTTTTACCTTGGAAATAACCAGCACATCCACCCTGATCTCCCCGGGTTTGATGATGGACATGTGGCCCTGATCTTTAATGTGAGTTCCAACACAGGGATCGGAGGGGTGGGCGCCGCATCCATAACACCCTCCAGCTCTCACCTCCAGTGCTTGGCAGGGTTCAGTAGCTTTTAACAGGACTAAAGCCTACTAAAGCCCAGCTTTAAAAGCCCCTTTCCCTTGCTGCACGGTGGGGGGGTGCCTTGCCATAGTAGGGAGAAAGCACTGCCCCAGCATCCATCCATCCATCTAGGGGTTGTACCAGCAACCCCACAGGGCAAAACAGCCCCTGCGGGAGCCCAGGTGCCTCCGCTGCTTTCAAGCATCCTGCCCCGGCTCTGCCATCCCTGGCTGCATCCCCCCCAAAATGTGCAACCCGAGGAACTCCCCCACCCCCCCTCCAGCTAGCACCAAGCCCTGCGGTTTTGCTTCTCCATCCCTTTCCTTCTCCGTGGATTCCCTCCCACGCCTGTCTCCTGACATTTATTAGGAGCACTGTAATAAATCAAGCTGTAAATCCAGGCGGATTTTAACAAGGGTGCCTATTGAGAGCCCTGCGCCTCCCAAAAAAAAGGACTGGTGGAAGACTGCAGCTCCCCCGTGAATCCCTCCAGGGTGGGATGGGGATGAAGGAGCCGATGCAGCAAATGCAGAATTGGGATGGGGGTCTGCCAGGGGGCAATGGGGTAGATCGGAGCCTGGAGCACAGCGTACCAAAGGTCCAGGGTGGTGCAGTGCGTGATTCATCCGTGAATCAGCCAAAACCACACATGGCGAAAGGGAAAGGGGTGGGAGGGGCTGTTCTTTCCCTGCCTGGTTTCCACCGAGAGCTCCGGAATGAGGAGGGACGATGGTTATGGAGGGGCAAATAGGACAGCAGCACCTGCAAGGTGAGAAGGAGGGTCAAGGAGGAGAACAACAATGCCCCTGGGTCAAGGAGGAGAACAACAATAAAGCAGCTAAAAAGGGACAGGGAGGCAGAAAGTGGAGGGGAAGGACTGAGTCAAGTTGGGGAGGCAGGAGTGAGGATGCAGGTTCAAGGCAAAGCAGCGACGCTCAGCTTTCTTCTCACGGTCCCAGGGGAATGGAGCCACGGGTTCATGGCCAGGTTGAAGCTGGCAGCTGCTCCTGGAGGTTTCCACATGTCTCTGGCTGCTCTTTCCTCCTTCCCACCATTGGCAGTCTCCTCTTGCCAGCTCCATGCTATCCCCTTGCTGCACTGGCACTGACTGCAGCCCCCAGCCTCAATCTCACCGTGAAAGTTTCTATATGTAGTTATATATATCTATACGGGGCAGCAGCCATGGCTGGCTGGAAGGTGACAGCCCCAAGGTGGCACGCACAGCATGGCCAAGCTGTTTTTCATGGGGGTTTCTGGGTTTTCTTTCCTCGCAGCAGCGCCTGACTGAGGAGCTGCAGACGATGGAGAACGGCTACCATGATAACCCCACGCTGGAGGTGATGGAGACCTCCTCTGAAATGCAAGAGAAGAAGGTGAACCTCAACGGTGAGCTAGGGGACAGCTGGATCGTTCCTCTCGACACCCTCATGAAGGAGGACCTGGAGGAAGAGGAGGACACACATTTATAGGATACAGAACTCAGTCAAGCAAAAAAACAACTACCACGCCCCCCAAAAAAAACCACAATCCCTACACACACACAACTCCAAAACAAGGCAAAACTCCCAACAAACCGCAGAAAAATCCCTTAATGAACTAATCATGGCCCCTTGTGCCACCACATGGGGTGCAGGATGGAAGAAGGGACATGAGAGGACACCTCCAGGGTGCATTGTCATCACAAGCCACCATGGTGTGCGCGTTGTCAACACAAGCCACCACGGTGGCTGCATCCAGTTGAGCATCCTCCATCACCCACAGGTGCTCGGTAGAACCTACCACGCCAGACCTGACCAGCCGTGGGCGAAGGGGGTGGCTTTGCTCCCAAAAAGCTGCCGGTATCTTCCCCCGAGCATGTCCCTTCCCGTCCCACGTCCGACCACACCAACCACAGCCTCCAGCTATCGAGCAACTCAAAAAATAAAAAGAAGTAAATGTAAATAGGATGGGAGAGGGAGCACAACTCCCAACAGCAAACCTGGCAATTAAGAGCTAGAAAAATCCTCTGGCCCACGCGGTTTAGTCATCGCTCTGCCCTCCCCGACGTGAAACGCCCAGGTATCGAGCGGAAAAAGCTGGAACAGCCTGTTCCTTTTTAACCCAGTTTCCATCCTCTCCCCATACACTGCTGGCTAAAACGCACAAGAGCCCCACGTTGTGCCACAGGCGACCAAATGCATCCAGACCCGGCTGGACATGGCGGGGGGGATGCAGCAGTGCCAAGCGATGCTCAGTCCCACGCCACCCCCAGCTGCGCCGCAAAGGGCTGAGGGACAGATCCTGCACCCGGTTGGAGAGCAGGAGAGGCACAGCAGCTTCTTGTATTGATGCGAAGGGGGGAGAGAGGAAGAGGAGCAATTCCGTGAGTTCATCCCTCCTCGGAAGGGCGTAACGAGACCACGAGCGATGCCCGGTCGCCAGCGCAAGCACAGGGTTGGGGTTTCGGGGTGGAGGAGCCCAGCTCCAGCGCTCTCCTGCCGCATTTCCCTCCAGAAGCATTAATTGCCTTCCAGTAATTGCGCAGCAGCATCTCACGGCCCACCATCCATCCTTCCCCGAGACCGCGGGTTACGTGCCCCGTGATGGTTTGTGATTTTTGTGGTCACGTTTTCCTGCACGAGCAGCAGAAAAGATAAAAGGGCAACAGAAGCACGAGCCAGGGAGCTTGCGGTATTCAGGGTTTTCCATCGGTACAGCCCTCGGTGTTTCCTCCCCACGAGGTTTTTAAGCTCAGTCCACATCCTCAAGCTTTTCTTCACAAGCAGGTAAAATAGCAGAGACCTGCAAAGAAAATTCCAGCTCAGCAGCAAAGCTGGGACTGAGCTTTGCCCTGCAGCCCTTGCTCTCTCGTCCAGGTCTCCGTTTGCCATCAGTCTTTAGAGGAGGAGGGAGAAAAAAGAATATGCAGGAGCAGAAACAAGCTGGACAGAGGCCGTTTCTGATTTTCTACTCCCCATCACAGTTCCTAAATGGCTCTAAAAGGATGGGGAGAGTTTCACACCTTTGCTCTGGCTTTGGTGCAGCAGCTCAGCCGAGGCAGGGATCGGAGCAGGGCTCCATCCTCCAGCACACAGGGCAGAGGGGAAAGGACCAGAAGGTCTCTTGGGTGAGTGCATCTCCCAACACACGAGGATGGTGGTGGTCCCAAGCCTTCTGTGAGCCAGAGGAGCTGCAGATGAAGAGCAATTCCCCATCACAGCCCTTCCTCTCCCCTGCTTGCCATAAACGGTGCATTCACCAACGCACAACAGGGTGATTTCCTTCGGGCTCTGCCACCAGGTCAAACACGACGGGGACCCGCTCCCACAGCCACCCTGAACGAGAGGAAAAGCGGAGTGGAGCAATGGAACGCTTGGAGAATCCCAGGTCAAGCCGGTCCTCGGGAGCGCTCACGGAGGAGAGGGTCAGGATGGTTTGCTCAGCCCCAGGACAGAAGCTGGCAGAAGATACGTCTTCTCAAAGGGACTGACTGGCTCTTCTCCCTTCTCTCCTGCATCAAAAGGCAGAGTTTGAAGTGTTCAAACCGATATATTTTTGTATGTAAATATTCCTGCTATTCATTAGCAATGTATTCAGCACACTTCACTTACCTGTGCACTGCACTACGGGGAAGTAATTGGGGGGAGGAGGGGGGGGGGAAGATAAATAAGAAAAAAAAGAGAAAAAAAAAAAGAAAGAAAAAGCTAAAGGCCAGTCTGGTAGGGGATCAAAATTCAACACCAAGCGGGAAAACGTCTCCCACCCGGATAACCCCGCACCACGGCTTTGTCCCTGCTCCAGCAGCATCGAGTTGAGCTCTTAAACGTCGTGGCAAGGCTCTAAGAACCAGTCTCGGTGTTTGCAACTGCTTGCGTGAGCGCGTCCGCTTCCCAGTTGCCCCGAGAGACGAAGCGGCGGGTCGGTGACCTCGCATTTCTGCCCTTCACAGAAAATAAACGCGTCGAAAACATGGGGCAGAGGCGAGGCTTTGGCCGCAGGAGCTGGCGCAGCCGTACGGATGGCTCTGGCAGAGCATCTCCAGGCAGTCGGGTTTTGGCATGTGCCTAAGATCCCCCTTCCCAGCGAAGAGATGCCAAAGTGCTTTAATGAATCAGGTCCAAAGACTTTCCAAGAGAACCCTACAAAGGCTTGAGATCAAGCAACCTTAAATCTTTCCGAGCAGAGACCAGTGAAGATATTAACTGCTCAGCAAGTGCTTATAGTGATTTATATTTGAATAGGAATTGTACATTTATTTATTTTTCCAGACACCATATTTTTAAACCACTAATATTTTATAGTAGATTTTCCTTCCCCTATTTAAAGAACTATTTCCACAGGAAAAAAAAAAAAAACAAAACCACAAAAACAACAGTACGTTTTTTATGTTGAGAACATTCTTTTCAAAAAAAAAAAAAATCAGGTAGAAAAGGCAGTGATGAGCATTTTTGGCCTAAATCCTCCCCTTCGTAGACTTTAGCCATAATTGTTAGACCAAAAATAAATAATTTAAAAAAAAAAAATCTACCCAGGCATTTCCTCCCTCCCTGCCCCTCCTCCCTTCCCCGCGCTCCCTTTCTCTCCCCCCAAAACAGCTTTAACATCCGACACGTCGTACAAAGAGATTATCGCTCCTACCTTTCGGTGGGAGTTTTACAAGCAGCTCAGATGTCCTTGCAAGAGACTTTTCTATTTTCAGAGCGTCCCAAGGAATGTGTAAATATTTTAGGACCGTTTATCTCCCGCTCACAGTGCCATGACCCAACTGACGAGGTTGATACTGTGACTGTTGCCTACAGAAGACATACAGGAGAAGACATAATGCATAAGGACTGCAGAAGGAGAACCTATTTCTTAAGGCGGCTACCCGTTGAACCTTGCACATATACTAGAGCTCTTACGTACTGTATAGCAGCATCTCTCACGGGGACAGGAGTCTGATTTACACTGGAATTTACTGAGGAACTGGATTGTAGACATTCTTCTTGCATTTTCCTACAAATATATTTTGAAAGCATCATGTATTTCTGTCAATAAACATTCTTACGTAAAAGACTCGTTTCTTGGTTGAGTGAAAAGGGGTGGGGGGAGCGGAGCTCGCGCCCGAGAGCCACAAGTAGCTGTTGCGTAGGTGTTACAACTGGATACGGTTTGAGCTAATTTGGAAACCGAGCACAGGGTCTGCGTGGTCCTACTAGCAAGAACAAGTAAAATTATTAGAAAAGCAGCAGTAAAACCAAGCCAGGCTGTCAGAGGTAGCCATGGAGAAGCTTGTATTTCTCCCATGCGGAAAAAAAATAGGATTAGTGGCGAAAATACTTCTCTTAATTAAAAAAAAAAATATGTCAAAACCCCAGAGGGATGGGATGCTCCATTGATGTGGGTGAGGGCAGCCCCACCACAGCCAGGGCACCTGTTTGAACCATTAGTGGCTTTAGGTTCATGTTGGCAGGAAGGGAGAATGAGAGGGGGGTTGCCCTTGTTTCTGCACAGCATCCTCACTCAGTCCTCACAACCTCTCCTTGCCCTTGGCTCAGGCTGTGGAGGAGGGAATCAAACCTCGTGCCCCTAAGCCAAAGCAGCTGAAGGAAGGAGGGTCATCAAGTACAGGCAACAGCAGGGTCAGCAGCAGCACGGGC